TGTTATTTCTAGATATCTTAGTTAAAAGAAAACTAAACGTAGTTCTAAATCTAACTATCTACCGAAAACCACCAACACACTCGAACCATTATGCCGACTTTAATTTAGCTGAAGCTTTCCATGTATTTTTAAATTCTATTGTCCTCAATAGAAAAAAGGGCCTTACTATCCATCCGACTTGGACTATCTATTCTAGCTACCTTGTCTGATTCTGTTAACGTCTCACACTATTATCATACATGCAAATTCAACTCTATCATTTCACACTACAAATGTCACATTTTTCATCCATCGACAGACAGCAGTAAACAAATATGTATCACCTAAATCACTTGACCGGGGTCACACGACCTTGGCTTGGTCACAACTGTTTTTTGATTGATCGTACGAAATATTTTTGTTTTGTTCCTTTGTACTGTTTGAACTTGGGTTTATTTAATATGGAACTTCCTTCATTCATCATTTTCAAAAATGCTAATTTGCTGAAAAATATATTTTCAAATAAACCCAACTTTGTTATTAGTACCAAACCCGTTTATGTTTTTATTATCATTGAGACTAGACATAGATCACTAATCAATCTACTTCCGATTATAGACTTTTTCTAGTGTGAACCACGGTCGGTGTGTCACGATAGCATCTGGTGAACTTGAACCTATTACGTTGTCCTCACAATTACTTTTTCGAAGCCGATCTCTACCGAGTGACTGTATGTAACATTTCAATTTCACCTGTTCAAATTAATTGTCCTGTTTGTGTCTCTCTTCACTTTGTTTCACAGGTTCTCGTCGTCCTCTGGCTCGTATTGTAGGTTGGCATCAAGCTGGTCTCGAACCGGAACTGATGGGCCTTGGTCCTATTTACGCTATTCGGGGACTGTTATCTAAAATTGGCTGGAAGATAGAATCCGTTGATATATTTGAAATCAATGAGGCTTTTGCTTCTCAGTGTATTGCTGTAAATGTTCTTTTTTTTTTAAGTTTAGGCCCTAGCTTATTTTGTGTAGAATTAATACCTTTGTTTTTTATTGAATCCATGATTCAATTTATCGAAGATTTGTTTTACCATATAGTTCTACAATCTAAGATATACAAACGGATGTGGACACCAACGACCCTAATCTTACAAAAATTCAACAAGGTGGTAATATTGTGAATTATGTTAAGTAGGTAATCAATCACTTGAATTCGTATATAAATGTTTGATGAATGTCAAGTTAAACAGAATGAAGTCGATTTATAGGTTAATAATTGTTTATCTAAGTCTCATTACCATAATGGGTTTGCAAAGATTGTTGGATTTCATAGTTTTCATCACAGATTGATTTCCACAATTCTATGGCAGGTATAATGTACTTTTAATAAGTAATTTGGAAAAGTAATTCTTAAATAAAGGCTGTGGCCAGTGGAGTTCAACTAAGTTGGGCGTTAGGACATTACCTATCAATTTCACTGGAAGATGGTTGCTCAATATCATGAATTAATTGAAGCTAGAAATGTAAACTAAACCGTTGGATTCTGGCTTAGTCGTTTAAAAGTTAAGTGTTCCCTGAAAAGACTGAAGGTTTTGCGTCCGATTTCTGGTGTGGCCTTCAATGCTGACTATTGAATAGACCGTGTAAACGTAAAAGCAATATCATATATTTCTTTAGGATCGATGGACTATTCCCAGTGATGGAATTCAGGACAAGCGTTCCATCCTTTTCGGGATTTATCAGATTTTTTTATTTCATTATTATTTTATTTCAACACATAGATATTTGTACAAAGAGGCATCAAATACATATGCGCCACACAAATCTCATTCGATATGTGTGAGGGCTGTGATACTGCCCGGGTGCCCAAACCGAAACAGGTGGTTTTCTTAGGGGGCCACACCCCGAGCCTTCGACCTGAAGGTCTGATGCACAAGGCATTGGAGCATCGTAAGGAGATGCAGTCCCATGGAAACCGGTGACCAACAATTGGTTCATTCGCCATTTGTTCCCGCAGGATACTAGAGCCCATGTTCACCATTGATTTGAAATCCGGTTAAAGCGCCGGACATTCGCTTTTCGTCCTCTCATTTTCGTAAACAAACAACACCCACGCCACGAGAAGGCAATGAGTAGGACTTCCCTGGCAGAGGCTATATACGCGTGACCATGTGAGAGCATTTTGAGAGGGAGAGCGAACTCTCCCCACTCTCGGCCGTACCAGGGCATTTGGGGGCCGATTTATCAGATAGATTTGTCTATATATCAATGCTGTTGTTTACATTAGAACTGGAACCCACTACCTTTCGCTTCAAACTCCAGCACATCCACTAATTAGGCTACTAAGTTCCATTACAAACTACAGTCAATTTATTCTACCGTGGAGAAGAACGTGATAAACTAACTACATCGAGACAATACTCACAGGGCGCCCATATTTACTAACAAAAGCTTATCGAAATCCAGTACTGAATTTCAACAGTAGGATAATTGAGCTCTCACTAGTTAGAATTCTATAACTATGTATATCATTTTTTCGTTTTTTTTTACTAATTCATCAGAAGAAAAAAAGATTTCCTTTTCTATTTCGTTATATACGTTTTCAGATTGCTACTGAATTGTGTATATTACCAGAGAAGTTGAATATATCCGGTGGTGCAATTGCATTAGGTCATCCAGTTGGATGTAGTGGTGCTCGTATATTGGTCACATTAGTGCATACATTACAACGGCTTTGTAAAGATCATAATGTCAATGGCGGTGATCATTCAACTGTAGTTCGACGAGGTGTAGCTGCTTTATGTATAGGTGGTGGAATGGGAATTGCAATCGCTGTGGAGACATGTGTTTAGCAATAACAACTTTGAACTATCTTTCTCGTGATTCCAGGTTTTGTTATATGAATTGATGTTCTTGCCTTATTTTAGGGGTTGCTTACTCATCTCATGAATAAAAACAACAATACAGTTCAATAAAAATCGTGTGGAAAGCAAGTGCCATTCCTTTTTCTTCTTCCTCTATTGGAATATTTTGTTGTTGATTTTAAAAGTAAAAAACAAAAGAATGAAAAAATCTATTCATTTATAATTTTTATATGTAATTGTATTTGATAAAAATACAATCAAAAATATAATAAAACTAGATTAGATCATATGATTGTTCTTCCTATTGTTTCATTTTCAATTTTATACACTTTGATATTTGTTTTGATTGAAGAATGAAGGTTTATAATGTTGTTAGCGTTTTTTTTTAATTAACAACTTTTAACTCTCGAACTTTAAAAACTTTTCGACTCGAAATACAGCTGTGGGTTACATGCACTTGTTAGTTGCGTGCGTTCACTCTCTCCCCTTTCAGTTAAGTTATTTTCCTTTTAAATTATAATCAGTTAGTTACGGTCAAATATGAGTTAACCAAAGTAGCAACAACTCATGAACATGACTAAGTGAATATCGAAAGTAATGTACTGGAGATGTAATCTAGAAACTATAAACATTAAAACCAATTAAAATGACTATCCCATTATATAATAGAATTCAGCATTCATGGGAAGATTAAAAATTAATGCACCTGTGTCATTGTAAACACTTCTGAACCGTCTTACCCAACACTTACGACAACTGATCGCTGTTAACATACATACACCAATCAGCCAGTCTGAATCCACTTACTTGATTCAAATCAATAGTCAGTGATTTCAATGACTGAAGTTACGTTTCGATTTGGCCACCCCTAGTTATCTGCCAACCAACATCTACAGACAGCATTGATGGTCATCGTATGCGGTGGTTGGGGATATGTAATATATGTCGCGCGCGCGAGACTAATATCCTGGGTTCGAGACTCGTGGGGGAGGGATAGTGGATGCGCACTGCTGAGGAGTCCCATACTAGGACGAATCGGCCGTCCAGTGCTTCCAGGCTTTCCATGGTGGTCTAGCTTCAATTGACTCAATTTCAACTATTGAAATTTCTGAAATCTCCACAAAACCCCTTCTGATAATGATTTTAGCACTTAAATATCATCTATCATAATATAGGTTTAAAAGGCGCTTCACTTACTTATGTTCAAGTAATTGCATAGTGTGTCTTTCCCTCACAACAAATATGTTTTGAAGCCCATATTTATTCTCTGATTTGTATGAATTCATGGTTGAAGTATGTAGTTTATTGGTACATGTAAACTATAAACTTCTGAGTATATCAATTCACCTGATTGATTTTGGAAAACTGATTATCGGTTGGATTTAAATTTCACTGGAAAGTTACTTAGCGTGATTCCCAATTATCAACTTAAATCAAATTCAAACATTTCGCTTCTGATTTAATGAAGTTTATTTTATACTATGGTTGTAATTGAAATTTCCACTATGAACACATCTGCAATAATTGTGTTAAGTTCGTTCAGGGTCATTATCTTATATTTGACAAATGGTCAGTTGATTTTTGACATTTCTGCCTTATACCTTCTAGTTTACATAGGTTATTGTTTAAGAAGTTATTGAAGTGGTATTGATTCAACTTACAAATCAAAGGTCAGATTCTGATCACGATTAAATAAGTAACAAGTAGTTTAATCCAGAACTTAGTATAGTAGTGTATCTTTTATTACTTACATGATATGTTCAGTTTTTTATGTTCCTAGCATTAATTATTTTTGTTTGTTACAAAAATTCACAGCATAATCCCGCCTCCCTCAAAGAGACATAATCACATAAATGTGTAAAGTATAGTTGAACGGACCAGTTTACTTTGAAGCCTAACAGATTGAAATAGTTTCGTGTTCTTGTTGGTTGGTGGATCCCGCTCACTTTTGTTCAACTCAATATTAACCAAGTGAAACCATAGTTTACATATACTTTTATTCTGAATCTGTGTATATTAACACATAAACTCACATAGGTTCGCCTTCAAAATTTTTACTTTCGTAAACTTTACAAACAATAAGACTATATATATAAATTCCAATCTGTCCTTTATTTAAACATTATACATTTTAGGGTAAATAGACATTTATTATCATAGTTATGGGTAGTGAAGAACGGCCTAATAACTCTACGGTGCCTTGTGAACGTATTTTCATTCAACGTGATTATTCATCTGGTACAGCAGTACGATTTCAAACTTTACCAATGCCTTTACAACTTCGTGGACGTGTAAGTTGTTGTGTTGAAGTTGATTTAAATTAGTTGGTAAAAGCAGATTTTTCCTCATTACTTATACTACTATTCACTAATGTTTACGATCATTTATTGTTTTACGTATAGATTCCTCCTAATCGATACGCTGATGCAATAGCTCGTTTGAATAAATTATTCGATGAAGCTGAAACAATTAATTCTTCTGTTTGTCTAGAGAACTTATTTGGTTGTTTAACAGCATATCTGATATTCTTATGCATGAAGACACATTATGACAAGGTAAGATGATTTTTAAGTGTTTTGGAAGTCTTATAACCACATGTTAATATTCTAGCAATTTAATTTTTTGGTACCGAAGTTTAATCAGTATTAGGCACAGAAATTTTTTACTCTGTAAATATAACTGTCGTATACACTTTACTAAATGCTAGAAATTCGTTCTTTATTTATAAAAAAAATGAGTAAATTTATTTCGTTGTATATTTTTATTCGTGTCAGTTAAGAATCAACTACTAATTTTAACCGTCTCATGAACATCGTAAATTAAAGGTCTCTATTTCTAAACCATGTCGTTATTTTTCATTTTATCTCTTTATTGATGTGAAATATGTCAACTTGAGTTGATACAAATTTGTCTCAATTTGTAATCAGGTTACAACTGACTAACTGATTAGGATTTATTTATCTGCTGATGAAATATCTGATGAATAATTTAGTATACACCCCTAGTTAGTTTCAAGCGTAATTCTAGTTTTGTAAACGTTGAATATGTAGAGTGGATAGATAATAATTCATTAGAAAAATGAAATGTTAAAATTTACGAAAAGTTTTTTGATTATATGAATTTATCTTAATTATTATTTACTAAAACGTTCTAGACGTGTACTCCACAACTGTGTGCATGATAAGTCTGTATAACGTGAGATATATGTACATATATTGGTAATGTTAAGGAATGGTCCATTATAAACCAATCACTATATGTAATCCATTAACTATTCATTAAGTCACGAGTAGAAATTCAAATGACTTTTTAAAAACCTTAAAACTGATTCGAAATCACACTAAGTTCGATTCACATTGTTATTTTTTGACATGTAAAAAGACTTGGAAATTAACATGAAAATGTGATTATTATTATTATTATTAATAATCTCTCGCATTGCTTGGTGATGGTATTTAAAAATGTGAATATTAATCAGAGATAATTGAGACATGTTACGTGTCCCTAATCAACGTCTACCTCAACTGACGTAGGAGTAAGTAAGAAAAAAAGTAGGTGCGACCAAATTGAAACTTAGCACCAGTACATGATCTCATAGACTATTGAACTGAAACAAGTAAATATATTCAGACTGATTGGTTGGGGTATGTATGTTAACCACGATCAGTCATGATAGACGTTGAGTTATAATAATTTAAAATCAGTCGCAGCGGTAGAGATAAATTTGTTGTTTATCATCCTTTCGATTTTGAGTTCCTGCATTTCTCCATACTTTCTTTCTGATTCAGTCTTTTAGCACCATATTTTTAAGGTTTAGTCCTCCTTATGATTATTGCTACTACATTATTTCGATCTCTTTCGCAACTCATCTTGCCACATTAATCAGGTGAGGGAACTTGGGTCAATACATATCTTTGTCGGTTTCTACTTTGATTATTATTGAATAACTGACGTGCTAAATTAAGCGATCAAATTAAAGGGTATATGATAATTTTTTTCTGATTTAACTACTATTGATTAGTTTATTTAGGAAATAAACTTCCGACGAACTGAAAACTAAACAACAAAAGCATTTGGTGGTTTGTTTGAAACAATCTCTTTTTAGGATGCTGTGATGTGTTCTCCTCTCTCTCTCTCTTCTGTTTTATATTACCTCTTTTATGGATTTAAGACCATGATGATTTAGAAAAACGACTCAAATTTTAAAATGATTCCGATTCAAATGACGACTAGTAAAACGTTGTGGAGCTAAGAAACTACTTGATCACTGAACGAATATATTTCCAGATATTACGTTTTCATAGTAAACATCTGTTTTTATTGGTTATTATTTTCTGATTTCAGCTAATTTATGACCAACGTCTAATAAGTTTGATAAGTATTCATATTCACTTTCATTTTATCGACTCCATAATGGAATGACAGTTTAAACATCATTCTCATTATGACTTTGGCAAATTCTTACTCTATGTAATTGATATTACGGAGGAAATCAATGATTTACCGTTTGCCACGAGATAATACAACTAGTTTGTGGTAGAATAATTAACCAATCATTAGTTTGGAGAATCGGTCGATATACCAGATAACTAGACCATTAGATTAGGTCATATGTTACACAATATCCTACCGAAAATCCAAAAGTAAGTTACAGACACAAATATAATCTGTTCACAAACCATAAAATGCAGAGTAGAATATAGTGAAGTCATAGCCAATATAAAGATATTCATTTTTTTGAAATTACTAATTACTTCGTAAGCATTTTTTTTCGATCAATCGTGGGTTATGCTGCTAATTCTTAAACTAATCATAATGAACGTAACACAAAGTAATTTGGCAATGATGAATTTTCGTTTATATTGTTATTGTTTCTTATAGATTTATCTTATTACGTATTATTTATCGTGTTCTTCATAATCATTCTTCAATATACAATATAATACCGATAATTCATAATGATTCGTGATGGTTTATTTTTGTCTGTAACTGTTCCAGGTATTGCATAAAGTGACTTTAGCTGTTGCGGATTTAAATGAGAAATTATTTTTACCGAATGGATTACTTATGATTGACCCATCAGAACGTGGACTTAGGGTAGTATCCTTTTAATTAATTGAGTTTTATATATATATATATATATATATATATATATATATATATATATATATATATATATATATATATATATATCGAGATTTTATTGACAGATTTCTATTCGTTTTTCCCAAGTTTTTTCTACAAATTTACATATACCTGAGATTGATTTTACTACAAATTAGTCACCCAATGTGCTTGATAAGCTATTCAGCTTGTTACAGAAATACCCATGTATTAATCTGTTATGCGTAAATTGTAGTTTTAAAATATGAACTGGTTGCATCCTATAATTAATTGTGCATCTTGTAAATTCCCTTCTTTTGTGGAGTTAATCAATAATGATTTTTTCTGATGATAAACAGACAAGAAAATTCACTACTACCACTGTTATGATCGATACCATGCAACTACGAAAAATATGCTCATCTTATGAAAGATATTCTAAAAATATTTTGGGATAAAATTCAAGATTCTTTCCCTAAGACTAATCTAATTCTTTATCCATATTGTTCTCGTATATAAATCTTGTATAGATCTGGTTTCATTGATACATATATCTCTTTAGATTATTGTGTCTGTAAATCTATATAAACACGGTTGTATCTATTTTTATTTCATTATCTCTGCGAGCACGTGATTGACACAACCGTTGCAAAGTTTACAACTTAATCTAATATATTTTGTAATGATTCAGATGACCCCGGTATTGATATTTTAACTGAAATGTGATTATTCTTCATTGGGATATGTGCATTCTGTGCGGACTGCTTCGATATTGCCATTATGAAACAAGTGTATAGAGAACAAATGGAATGCAGTGGAATCTAGGATGCGCATTTCTTCATACTTTGAACTCATCATTTATATGTACACCTGCATCTCAGACTTGTTGATCACTTTTGGACTCCAACCCCCTCATAGAAGAGCATAGTCCACTGTTATAACTTGTCGTTTGAATGCTTATAGTCTTGGTTCTTTTAATGCTACATTTTCTATCTGGTCGTCGCTGATTATTATGTCGGAAACGTTTATCACTTATACTCGGAACGAGGGACCTCTGCAATTCCCACGACGTGAAAGTAAGAACACAAAGACTGATATAAGTGATGATTTATTGACCCCAAAACACGACGACGACGATTCTAGTAAAAAATACACTCATTTATATATTGCTTGTACACCCATTTTGATTAATAATTAGGATGAAATCACATATATGAAAAATAATTCCATTTATAACAAATCACAGACCGAGTATAGTTCATGTCAATGGAATACAAAAATATCGCATATTATACAGTATAAAATATTATACGAGAAAAGAAAACAAATACTGTAGTGAGTAATCACTACATTGAATCAAAACGGAAGTAATTTTGAACAAAACTCATAATGAGTAAATCAATCGAAAATTGACTTTTCCTTCCATCATATTAGCCACCTACCAACATTCTCCACCCAAATCTGTGCAAGATACTCCTACCAAGTTCTTTCACGTTGATCCTCATTCTTTTCATGTCTGCTTCCAATTCCCGCTGCAGTGTTCTTTGCCCTTCCTTTTTCCCATTTCCTTTCAGGATTCCAAGCAAGCGCTTTCCTCGTCGTGCAGTTGGGTGATTTCTGTAATGCATATCCCATCCACTTCCAGAGTATCTCCCCAATTTCCTCTTCAGTTGGAAGCTGATTTATTCTTTCCCATAGTAGGCTGTTGCTGGTGGTATCCGGTCAAACGACATTCAGTATCTTGAGTAGACAATTGTTTATAAATACTTGTATCTTTTTGATGATGGTTGTAGTAGTAGTCCAAGTTTTATCTCCGTATAGTGGAAATGTCTCGACGTTCGTATTGAAGATTCTGAATTTTATATTGGTTGGCAGTTGTTTCGAGTTCCTTTCCTTTACGTCTGCATCCAATCCTCCTCGTTCACTGATGAGGCTGCTGACCAAGTACATAAAAGTCTCCACCTGTTCCAGAGCTTCTCCATCAAGTGCGGTTGAGTTAGTGTTCTCTGTGTTGTATTCAATGATGTTGCCTTTCCCTTGTGTACGTTGAGGCTTCTGCCACAGTAGTTGTCTTGACCTGCATTTGTCTATGTGTACGGGATAGAAAAGCTAGGTCATCTGCCAAGTTCAAATTGTCTAGTTGCATCCAATCTGTCCATCGTATTCCATGCTTTCCCTCAAATGTCAAGGTCTTCATAATCTAGTCGACCGCCAGAAGAAAGAGGAAAGACGATAGTACGAAGCTTTGTCTGACATCAGTCCTTAATTGAAATGCATCTGTCAGGTGTCCTCCATGCACTACTTTGCAGTGTAGTCCGTCGTATGGATTCCAAATGATGTCGACGATTTTCTCAAGTTCACCGTAGTGTCGGAGAAGTTTCCATAAGGTTCTCCTATCCACTCTGTCAAACTCCTTCTCATAGTCAAGGAAGTTGATGCATGGTGACGAGTTCCATTCAATTGATTGTTCAACGATGATGCGTAGTGTCGCAATTGGGTCTGTGCACAACCGGTCCGTACGGAATCCGGCCTGTAGATCTTGAAGCTGGATGTTTACTGAAACTTTCATTCGGTTCAGCAACACTCTGTAAGAAACGTTTTCTGGTACCGATAGTAGTGTGATGCTTCTAGCTGAGCTCTCACATATGCTCAGATCTCTTTATTTTGATATATTGATGACGTGTCTTTTTTCCAAGTTTGTCGGCGTTTGTTCTTCCTCACAAATCTTCCTAAATAGAACGTAAAGCATATGTAGTTACCTTTGTGTGACTTTAGTGCTTCGGCTGATGTATTGTCAGGTCATGCTGCTTTCCCACTGTTGACTTGATGGTGCTTCTCTGATCCCTTTCGAGCTGTCCTCCATAGTAGTTTCTTCTGCTTTGAGTAGATCTTGTTAGGCGTGATAGCTGTTGTTGAAGGTTCTGTGGAATTGGTTGAGTTTGACAATATGTTGAAGGAAGAGTGTATTGGACCTTTTTAATGCTGTTTCCCCAGTTTTACACTGTTTCTTTACCTTCAGTTTCATCTTGGAAACCACCTCTTAGTGGTAATTGGAGCTATGTCAGCTCTTCTCCTGATTCTCACGTCTTCCATCGACCTTCTGAATATTGTCTATTATGAGTACTTTAGTGATTACCTATTACTTATGTCGTTTTAATAATCTTATACTACTCAAATTCTTCCTGGGAATGCGACGTACTGTATAAGGCAATCGTTCTCCGTGTAAGATATTGACTGTCAACGATTTGATCATAGTTAAATGACCTTATGTTTAAACAGGTTGTTTTAATGACTTTAATACTGTCGAGAACTTATAGATTCTTTATATATATATATATATATATATATATATATATATTTGATTAACACACTTTGCTCCTTATATGTAACCATAGATAGAGTTATGTATATTCCATTCTCAATGAAAATTGTATGCTGGTTTGAATGTGGGGGCATTTGTATTGCACAATGAGTCAAATTTCCTACTCTAGTGTATATTGGTTCGTAAAAATTTGGTTTTCTACACAAGATTTCGAAAAATAGGAGTGTAATCCTCACTTATCTTGAAGTTAATTGTATCTTCAATTAAATAAACTTTTATATTTGTCTCGCTTTCTTTCGTATAAACTGTGTTATATTCATTACCATAAATCTATACTATATCAGTTATTATACATCTTTATTAACAAACAATACATCTCATTGGTGAATTAAAAAGTTTTATGGATTAAAACATTCCGAAATACGTTATAAGATAGTTTTTCTGAGCGTAATTCAATGGCCCCAAATAATTCAGAAACCGCAACCTTATAATAAGAATTTGTGGTTATTCTTATTATTTCATAATCTAAGATATTTACAAGAATCGGAGTAGTCCCTCGGCTGCATACATATCTATGACTTGTTTTACGTACAAATCATCGAAGCTACGCAAGGTTTCTAACTTGAAAATCGAGTTAACTATAAAATCCCGAAAGAAAAAGAATGAAATCTGTCTAAAAGTACGGTAGTAGTTTAGGGAACAGTATAAACCTACAAATCTAATCGCGAAGTATGTAGGTTGTTAGCTACACGATTTACACATACTTTTCTGACACCAAATGATCTAAACCGTAAAACCGGGGTTACTGAATAGCTGTCCCATCTCAGCTTAGGACTCTGCAGTAGTTCATGAGATCGGGCCAGAAGCATTCGGGTCTCACGGTGAGTACGATTTCTTCTAGTCAAAATAATATTTGTAATAATTTCGCAGCTCATGTGAAACCAACTTGAGAATTGAACAAATTTCCGGAAAACCACCTACGTGAAAGTTAGATTATACCGCCAAGAGGGAATTATACTCTTTTGAGTAGATAAGAGTACAGTTGCAAAACGTTCTGATTTACAAAACAGGTACAGCGTTTGAAAATAGACAAAGCATTCGCAAACGCTAATGGCTGTAAAGAAGTCTTATGAGAGGAGCTAGGAATATCAGTAAGAAGATAATTCAAGGTATACTGATGAGCCAAATTTCTAAAAATGTAAGATTATGTCGTCTTTTGGATATTTCTTCTGAGTGCGTTACAGAACTATCATAGTAACCACTGGACGGTGGTAGGGTCTACTAGCTTTGTGGTGTCGTGGATCGCCGCATATTGTTTATTGATGATGGATTCTACTGACGTTATTTATAAAACCAGTTTAACAGATGATACTGGAGATAACAGTAAAAATTTAAGAGTAGATTTCCGCATACAAATATAGGTTTAGGAATTTATAGTATGAAGTTTGTGAATGGTGGTGGTGGTTTTCTTGACTTAAAAGCAGCATTCGACTCCGTAGACCGCGAGATTCTGTGGAAATGTCTGTCATTGAAAGGCGTACCTCAAAAGTACATAAACCTTGTGAAGGCTCTTTACTCGAACACTACTAGTCGAGTCAGAGCTTATGACGAACTGTCATCTAATTTTGCAACCTCAAGTGGTGTCCGTCAAGGCTGTCCACTCTCTCCATTTTTGTTTAACTTCATCATAGACCTATTGATGGAAATAACATTCTCGAGTATTGATCTCCTTCCAGGATGTCCACTTATCGACTTAGAATACGCAGATGACAGTCCTGTTTAGTGAAGACGCTGATAAAATGCAGAGTATTCTGGTAGCACTAAGCAACAATGCCAGAATGTTTGGAATGCGCTTCTCTGTCTCTAAATGCAAGTTGTTCTTCAGGACTGGTCTGCGTCAACACTTGAATTAAAGATAGGGAGTGAAGTAGTCGAACGCGTTGACAACACTCATCTTGGAAGTTTGATCAGCCCTAGTGGGTTGGTGTTTGACGAAATTTCAACACGGAATTGAAAAGCTCGTTTGGCTTTTGCCAACTTACGTCACCTTTGGCGAAGGTGAGATATCCATCTACCAATTAAGGGATGAGTATGCTACGCGTCAGTCCGTTCTGTTTTAATTTACGGCAGCGAAACATGGCCATTAAGAGTGGAAGACACTCGTAAGCTACTAGTATTTGACCACATATGCCTTAGAAATATTGCTGGGATCACCGGGTAAGTAATAGTGAGGTAAGACCCAGGGTATGATGGTAAATCAGTTGATGAGGTGAATCTTTATCGACTAAGACAGTTGAGCCACGTGTTACGTATGCCTGAACACCGATTACCACGACGTGCAATGCTAACCGGTGTTGGAGATGGTTGGAAGAAAGTTAGGGGCGGCCAAACCAAAACGGGATCTGTGCTTGAAATCACTAACTTCTAGTCTGATCCATGTTGGTAGATGCAGACTACTTGGTTGGTGTCTGCGTGACTATCGTAATCAATGGTTGGTGACATGGCTCAGAATCAATCACAATGGCGTCAGTGTATAAACTTTCTGTCTTCCCTTAAACTAAGAGATTGAGATCGCTTCATATCTTTCTTTCTCCCTGTACTATATCCATGTATGCAATCTTTCTTTTACATATTACCACCTCTGAATTAACTACTTTTATGAATCCGGTGTTCATCTTGTGTTAATGATGTATGGCAACTTGGGCCGATGCATATAAGTGCCCAGTCCTACGTTGTAGCTGACTGACGAGTTTGCGAATTGTTTGAAGATAACTTCATGTCATTGATTGACCTTATAACTTATCATGATGTAATTGGAATATGGAAGAAATCAGAATCAGATATGGCATACTACAGAGCATATAATTACACATCAAGTTGGATTAGTTGTTTATAATCAGTTTAAATTTAGTGAGTTGTTTAGTAATTGCATCTCTGAGAAATCCCTTTCTACTAGTATCGTATGAGAGGCTACAAATGTCCAGCAGCGTAGCGAGTCTCGGTCTGGTATCTTCTGAAGTGGATTCATCGCTTGATTGACAAACTAAATAGGGGATGAAATTTTGATGGTGCAATGAGATGTTCTGTGGAGTACCATTTGAATACACATTAGTAAAAGGGGGATATTAGTAAGGGGCCCCAAACGCCCTGGTATGGCCAAGAGTGGGGTGGGTTTGCCCTCCCTCTCGAAGTACTTTCAAACGGCCGCGCGTATACAGCCTCCGCCAGGGAAGTCCTACTCACTGCCTTCTCGTGGCCGGGGTGTTGTTTACGAAAATGAGAGGACGAAAAGCGAATGTCCGGCGCTTTAACCAGATCCCAAACCAATGGTGCACATGGGCTCCAGTATCCTGCCGGAACAAATGGTGTGTGAACCGATCGATGGTCACCGGCTTCCATGGGACTGCATCTCCTCACGATGCTCCACCGCCTTGTGGAACAAACCTTCAGGTCAAAGGCTCGGGTGTGACCCCATAAGAAAACCACTTGCTTCAGTTTGGGCATCTGGGCAGTATCACAGCCCACACACACACAAATATAGAGTGGCGCATATGTATTTGGTGCCCTCTTGTACCGATATTTATGTGTTGAAATAAATAGATGAATAAACACTAGATACATATGCTTTACACGATAACAATGGGGTCAGCAGCAGTTGTTAATGGTATGTGTGAGGGCTGGGACGCTGTCCGAGTGCCCGAACCGAAGCAAGTGGTTTTCTTAGAAGGTCACACCCGGAGTCTTCGACCTAAAAGTACAATCCACAAGGCAGTGGAACAACATCAGGTGATGCAGTCCTATAGTAGCCGGTGACGAACAACAGGTTCATACACGTTTTGAATCCTGGAGTCCATGTGGATCATTTGTTTGAAATCAGGGTTTTCCAGCTCACCTAGGTGGGTCCACGAACCTGGAAAAGCGTCCGTCATTTGCTCTTCTTCCTCTCAATTTCCTAAAGAACACCCCCTCGCGAGAAGGCGTTGAGTAGGACTTCCCTGGCAGTAGCCACGAGAGGGTGAGCGGATTCTCCTCGGCCGTACTACGGTATTTGGGGGCCACTTAAGGGTCAGGTATAGGCGAGACACTGAATCCCTCACAAAGGTAAGTCTATAGATGCATATATATATGGATAGAATACCTAGACAATGTGATTTTCACGCAGCATGTCTAGAAATAAAATCCCCGTGAGATTTACTGGCATACAAAACGTTCTACCACTATTTAGAGACAGTACTTAACAACACCGTGGCCCAAACTAAATCGTTAGATCGTTGCAGATGCCTAGTAATTAGTATCTATTTTAGCTTGCCCACAAAATCTCCTGTTACAACTAACAAACAGAGGCAAGCACTTATATCAATCGCCATAACCCGTAACTTCTGGAACATGGATATATTCGAGAACAAATATGAAGTTTATCTTAGTGGTATAACTAATTTTTGTTTCAACATGAAACTGGCAGAAATGTTCATGGATGAACCATTTGTTTAAGCAAGAGACAGGTGTTGCAACCAACTAAATGAATGTCTGAACGGATGGTACGCAAGCTCGAAGAAAACAATAAAAAGATCGGTCTCCGAATCATCGAGAACACTTTAGTTGTATCTCTAAAGAATTTCTATTTCAGTAGGACAAGACGCAACTGGTTACACGAATGGTAATTTACGAAAACGTTTTATACTATTTTAAAATATTATTGGGTCTTATCTTCCTCCAAAGCTTTTTTCTTCTTTGACCTCATTCGCCAAATTGCGTAGCCGACGAACAAGACTGCGTAATTGGCCATTACTATCTGCAAATAAATAAAACATGCTATTAACTAGTCTTCACAATACATGAACTGGATTTATCCCATTATCATTAATTTCCTGGGCTTTAAAGTGGGTGCGATACCCCCGACTTCGTAGATGAGCTATAAAATTATTGATGAAAACAAATATGGTCGTGATGAACTGACAAGTATTTTCATCTCACTTTTGTAACCAAACCAACTGAAACCTTTAATTTGTGATAATAGACAAACCACATTAAGGTAGTACTTCACACTTATGACACTTTTCACAGGCTTGTTCATTAAGGTTCACTCAGATCAAATGTCGGTTG